AGCACCAGCAGGCCTTGGGCTCAGGGAGGTGGGGCAGGAGGATGGGATAAGCCTGGGGCACGGTGCCCAGACGGGCCAGCAGCAGGAGAAACCAGCCCAAGAGCCTCAAAGGCAGGACAGAGAAGGGCAGGAACCCTCCTGCCCTTCAGGATCCCAACATCCCTCCCAAGGGGGTACAGGACTGGCCGGAGGGGATGGGACAGGGCAGCCTGGATGTGATCCCACCTTAGGCCTCACTGGGCCTGTCGGATCCAGTGGCGGTGCCACGAACCCCCAGCTGGTCCCCATTGCCACCACTAATCCCCACTCAGCTGCTGCCATTCCCCTCTCATCATCCTCACACTAATGCCAGGGCTGCAGCCACACCAGCCGCTCCCTCCCCTCCCCACCCTGCAGAGGCTCCAGCATTTTTTTTTTCCCCCCGCTAACACGGCGTCTTGTGTTTAGTAGCCTCCTTCTGCTGTCACAGGCCGACCTATTTCTCACAAATCCTGACTGCTCTGGCCTTAAAACATCTTGACGCAGTGCTGAAACTGGCCTTGGCATAGCAGCGAGGCCCCGATTAAGCAGGATTGGTGTGAACTTTGCAGCCAGCAGACCGCGGCTGCGAGAGCAGAGCCGCCGCAGCACGGCTCGAGGCTGGGGACCCCACATGCTCATCGGGATTAGTCGGACCGCACTTGTGATTAGAAAAAGGGACACCACTGCTCAGCCTGGCCACCCGCTCCTCGCTGCCCACAGGCTGCTCCATGCCATGGGGTGCTGCAGGACAAAGCCAGGCAGGCAAGAGATGCCCTCCTCCGTGCACACAAAGCCTGAGCATTCAGGTTGCAGGGATGGGGGCTGAGAGCTCCACGCCCAGCATGGCAGGACTGCTTCCTGTGTTATTCCTTGTGGGAATGAGTGTCAGTGCCTACCCGTGGGCCCCTTGCCAGGGACCCTTCCTGTAAACATCCACTTGGCACAGCTCAGCCACACGGAGGTCTCAGGGGGAGAGGGGGGGTTGTCAGGAAGGTTGAAAATCCCAGAGGTGGAGTAATGTGGATGTCAGGCTTCAAGTGGTGCAGGATCCTCTTCCCTGGGAAAAAAACCTTCTTCAGGCTTGCTCTCGTACAGAGGTAATGGTGTGGGCAGCACGCCGTCCTGGCAGGGACCGCTCCTCCATCACACACCTCTGCACGGGCAGTTCCTGGGGAAAGAAGACAACACAGTGATGGGTCCCAGTGGATAAGCTACAAAGAGGCAAGGGATCTTAGTCCAGATTTGAAAAATGAACACCTATTTAGGAAAATTTCATTCAGGGGTGGAAATTGGACCAGAAATCTTCCAGGAGCTCTGTGACAGGCAAAGTTCCCTGGACCAGCTGGGGGGAGCCGAGCTTGGAGAGGTCTGTTTAGGTTGATATTCCTACAGCCTTGAAGATGATCGGGAAGTCCACCACAGCACAAGCCATCTACCTGCAGAGAGGTCAGGATCCCCATGCCTGGTGCAGGACAGTGGCTTGTAGCAGACCCCCTGGAGCCCCAGTAAGGGGGAGCAGCAGCTCACATACCAGGACAGGCTGGGGAGCATCTCTGTGTGGAGGCTGGGCAGATCCTGGCCCCGCCAGCTCCCAGGCTGTGTGCTGTTCCTACAGAATGAGCCTGAGCTGTCCCATCCCCTGACCCCTGGGATGGGAGGTGGGGAGGAGGGAGGTCTGCCACCCTCCTGCTTCAGCTCACCCAGCTGACAGTCCCACCTGGGCTCCTGGACTGACCCCACTCCTGGGCTTCCCCCATGCTGGAAATGGGCACCCTGCTCCAGGCAAGGCAGGGGCTAGGGCTGGATGTGGCCGGGGGCTGCGCGTGGTGCTGCAGGGCCCCGGACACCTTCCCATGACAGCAACACTATCGTGGGTCCAGCTCGCCCACCAGCAGAACGCAGTGGCCCACCGGGGCCGGGGGGGCAGAGCCATGGGACCCTCACCACCTCCAGCCTCCGGCCCTCCCCGGCCCTGAGCCTCCTGCTGGCAGGAGGTCACGCCTGGCCGGTGGTGCTCGCGGCAAGCCCGCCATCCGGCTGGGCTGAAGCACATTTTGTTCGGCGCTTCCTGCATCCTGCCCCCATCCCTCTGCCGGGGCGGGGGGGCACGGGTCAGCCCGGGGCCAGGCCGCTAATTGCAGCCTGCAGCCCGGCAGGGCCGAGGCGGCCGGCAGCCCACGGCCTCTCCGGCACTGCTTGGTTCTTCCCGGTGCAAAGCGCCGCTGGCATCGCTGCTGTGCCCCAGCTGAGCTGCTCTGCAGCCCCAGGCCAGGCTCCATCCTTTCCGGGCATCGCTTGCTGGTGCCTTCCCATGCGAAGCCACTGAAGTCAAAGCAAACTCACCTCCATGCCCTCTCTTTGCAGGGCCAATGGCAAGTTTGGTTGGCCTTCCGGTAGCTCCTTTTCCAAGCGTTTAATGAGGATGTTAATTAAGCGCGACCCCATGCCAACCCTTGTGGTACCACCCAAGCAGCTCCCTCAGCGATGTGCTGAGCTCGTTATTATCATCTCCTGCTCCCCGCGATGCTGGGCGCAGCCACGCAGCCCGCCCAGCCTGGGGAGCAGCCCCCAGAAGCATCGGGGTGGGCAGGAGACCCACCTCCCAGGCCCTACCCTGCATGTCCCCTGCTAAAACCCGTATCCTCCTGCAAACACCGTGTGCCCTGCTCCCATTCACATCCCCTGCCAGCACCCACAGCCCTTCCATGCACCGGCTGGAGGAGAGCACGCAGCGAGAAGGACGCAGATGCAGCAGGGCTGGGCTCAGTGCAGCAGCAAAGCCAGGGGCTGCGGAGTCACTCCCAGACCAAAGACCCATACGGGCTCCACGCACCAGCTGCAGGGCACCACAGGCACTGTCTGCCTCACTGTCCTGCTCCAACTCTCCCTGCCCACAGGGGCTGGGTGCTGCTCACATCTCCCTCCACTCCCAAGGGGCTCCCTGGATCATTTGGGCTGCCACAAAGCTCCAAATTGGGGTGATGCATGTAGAGGTAAGAGGGACATGTGCCCATGCAGCATGTTCCCATGGCTGGACACACAGCACCAAGCACAGACTGGTTGGGGGTGACATGGCCAGGACCCCCCAGCTCCACACCTGGCCCCAGACTTGGGGGGAGAGGGCAGACACCTGGGTCTGGCCCTGCAGGGCAGCCCATGGCTATGGCTGCTGGGGGATGAAGCAGCTCCCTGCTCTGCCCCCCATGGGGTCGGGGCTCTGCATGTCATTCTCTGTTTCTGCGCCCTCCCCAGGACACTCTGTCAGCATTGGTTAAGGGCTGACCCCCCTTCTCCCCCCTCCCCCCAGTATTCACAGTCCCAAATGTTAGCCACAGTCATAAAAACACAGCCAGACTCCTTTTCTCCAGAATGCACCCCCACACATGTTCCCACTAAGTGATTTCTGCTGTTGCCCAAGCATCACGAACTGGGAAACATCTCCCCACACACCCTTGCTAGTGTCACGCTGGTGCAGGGCTATGCATGCCCCGGGGCACGAGCAGGGGCTGTCTGTCCACACCAGCCATGCAGATCCGTCCCTCACCCCGCTGGCTTGGCTCCATCCCCACGAGCTCACCATCCCGGGCACGGGATAGCAGCGCACGGGGCACGGCGGATAGCAGTGCCCAGCTCCCACCCACGCTCCTGCCTCCAGGAGCAGCCGGCCATGGGGGCAGCCAGGTCGAAGGCTGCTGGGGATGGAGGCTGGGGACATTCTCCTGGGCGCCCTGAGGCGCTTCCTGCAGTGCCTGTCCTGGGCAGGTCGCTGCCCACAGGCAAGGAGCCCACGCACCGTCCTTCCGTCGCTGCCCTGTTGCCCTCCCTCCCTCGGGGTGCACATCTGGTCAGCAGATGCTGGAGCTGGGACAAAGCTCAGCTCCATCCCAGGGCTCGGCACACACCAGCCTCCTCGTTGGGGCAATGCTCCTCATACTCCCGTGCAGCCGGCACCCCTCCCTAGGGGTAGGGAGTACTGGTTTCCACCCCCCTGGCATAATGGGGAGCAGGACACGGCACCCCAAGCCTTGGCATGCCTGGCACAGTGCCATAGCCGGCGTCCCCTGTCCCGCTGACCCAGGGTCCTGCACAAAACTGGCCTGGACACCTGGACAACTGCCTCCCCAACGCCGATGCCACCTCACCTTACCTTGAAGAGTTCCTTTCTCTACGGGTTCGTTTTGTACTTGTCCTGACAAAACGAGTCTCAATGCAGTTATCTGTGGCATGTTAATTATATTGTTTTACAAAAACAAATGGCATGCGCTCCACGGCAAAACTCCAGGCAGGTCAGGCTGTGAAATATACCTGGGAGGAGACAGGGATGGCTTAACCCAGCCACTGCTGGGATGAAACGTGCAGATCTCGGCGTCGGTGCAGTTCCTTGGTTATCGTTTCATTTCACTGCTGCGTCTCCCTTGCAGGGATGTGGTGGGGTCCCCACGGTGCCGACACTCTCCCTGTTGCTCGCAGACACTGGAGTAGAGCTGGGTGCAGCGGTGCATCTCCACGGGAGGTGCTGAGATGTCCTGGTGTCCCAGCCCTGGGCAGGCACAGGGTCCACGGTGAGCCCCTGCCAAGGGGCTGGGCCCATCCCAGGGGTGGGAGATGACGAAAAGCGTGGAGTGGCAAGCTCAGGAGCTGTAGGCTATCCCCGGGGTACCCTCGCAGAGACGCAGCATCTCCCCTCCCTGCACGCCCACAGTGCGGCGATTCCCTCCCTGCCGCTCCAGGGCACGAGGAAAGGGGGTGACCACACACACCCGTGTACCAGGGGAGGATCCTCCACCGCCCGGCACGGCCACCGTGCAGCCTTTGCTGGGGACCCACCACGAACCACCAGGAGCAAAGGGACAGGAGTGCATCTGGTGCAACAAGCGCACAGAGGCCATGGGTGCCGGCCGCTGCGCAGGCAGCACGGCGGGCACGAGGGGGCCAGAACTGTTTGAAACGGGGATGGAGAGAAATAACAAAGCTGTAAATCATGACACAAAACATGCATTCATTTTATTCACAAAAACAGCCTGGATCGCTAAAACATTACAAACAGCATTTCAATTTAATGATGTAGAGAGCTGGAGAGACGGGGATTTGAACAGAAGAGAAATATCACTTTTCATAACTGCTTCAGCACAGGTCCTGCAATATTATTTTTATTTTGATTTTAACTTCAGTAAGTTTACAAAAATTACTTCTAGAAGTAAACCATTGCAATTAGGATTTTTTTCTGTATGCAGTATTTCTTGTTCTATATTAATAAACTAACAATGACATTTTTTTCTTTTTTTTTTATTCTTTTTTTTCCTTTTTCAAAGACCACCATTTTTTGTAGCAATTGTTTTCTTCCATCTTTTATACCAAACCTCTTGCTGGTTAAACTTACATACGTGAATGGCTAGGAGAAGGGATACTACATCGCTTTAAACATATTCTCATTTATAAACATGAAGTTGAGGCATTCTAGAAACTATCCACTCTATTGTATGATGGGAAATAATCAAATAAAAAGTATAAATGAGGGTGCAATTAAACAACTGTGCTAAATTACAGTAGTGCTTATTAGTAACTAGATTTTAAAAGGTTACTGTAAATTTACATTCCCTACACAAGTACTGCATCTTTCACACATAAACAACATCAACACCAAAACACAGAAAGAAACTGATTGTCCATACTCTGTCTATTAAGTCTTGGTACTTTACAGATCCATTGTTTTTTTCTTTTAATTATTTTATTTGAAAAGCAGTTAAATGTCTGACTAGGACTCGAAGATGTTAAACAAACGCAAAAAAAAAAAAAAAATTATAAAAACAGGAATGAAATTTGCGAGAAAATATTTTTGGTTCTAAAGAGACACAGGTGCATCCATTCATTTCAGCCAAAAATCCCTTGCCTGAGACAACACAAGCAAGCAGTGACATTGCACTTGGATGACAGAGCTTTGGGATTCCCGTTCCTACTGAAACCATCTGAACGCGGCTCCTGTAGGAAGCATCACCTTCTGGAAAGGAAGAGAGACAGGGGAGGGAGGAACAGAACAAAGAAGGGACAAGGCGTTAGGCTGGGGCCAGCTCAGCTACCTCCACGCGCAGCCGCTGCTGGGGGCCACCGGCCCGGCTCCCGGGGCAGCAAGTGCCCAACAGCAGCGCCAAGGCCATCAGGGACGGCCACTCGGCCACACGGGCTGGCAGCCCACATGAGGCACAGCAAAGCCCACCCAGGACACTGGTCCACAGCCGTCACGGGCACCTGGCCCCGCTGAGGCCAGGCCCAGCACCCCCGGCAGGCTCTGCACAGGGCCACGGGCAGCAGCTGAGCTGCTGCAGGGGCAGTGGCAGAGGCCTCCATGCTGGACACCGGCCTGCGTGGCCCTCCCCGCAGCACCCACCCAGCCTGGCTCCCCTCCTTCCCAAGCCCCTCCGAGGGTGTGGGGGGGAAGGTCTGGCCAGCCCTGGGCTCCCCAGGGGGCACCTGGAAAAGCCACCCCCCGATTGTCCCCGCACCATGCAGACACAATGGCATGGCCTCCGGCTTCCCCTCTGGCTGATAGCAAGCACAATGGCTGGGCCGCCACTGCCGTGGCAGGCACAGCCAGCTCGTCCTGTCCCCTTCTGTCCCCTCATGTCCCGTCCCATCCAGTCTCCTGCAGCCTGCCCACCGCGGGGGCCCTGGCCACCCACCCATGTCAGGGACGGACAGACAGACAGCAGGCAGAGAAACCGAGCGCCCAGCCACATCCTGCAGTGCACTGCATCGCCTCAATGCCCACCCCAGCTGGCAGAGAGCTGTGTGAGGGCACAGGGAGGGAAACTGAGGCAGGGAGTAAGCTGGCTGGGCTTGCACAGCACCTGAAGAGGGCTATGATGCTTCACAAGTGCAGGCTGGGGCTCTTGCTGCACAGCCCCAGCACCACCTCTCAGCATCTCACTAAATGGGGGGGGGGGAAGAGGGATGAAGCCGGCCACTAACATGGTCCGACCCTGACCAGGCTCAATCCTGCATGGGACAAAGTGCCTGACACCACACAGCACCTCTCTGAAGCCACCTCCAGGAAAGGAAAGAGGAGAGATCTGGCGTGGGGAGAAAGCTCCAAGAGAAGTTCTGTGCCCCTCTGAGAGGAGGACCTGGCTACCCAGAAAGAGGTGGGACATTTCCCACCCCTTTGATGGCTAGAAGTGGGAAGCCAGAGTTTATGAGACCACAGGTGGCCTGTGCAAGGACCATGATGTTAGCAAGGCCAAGCGATGTTAGCCAGAACACAGCAACATGATCACCAAGAGGATGCGCCTCAGAGGGGACAGCAGGCCAAAACCTAGGGCGCCCATGAAAGCTTCCTCCTTCAGTTTCTTCACATCCAAATGAGCACGAGATACCAAAGGGAAACAACCCCAGGCACTGAACCAAGGCTTGGTGAGGCCATCCCTCTTCCCAGCCCATCCTGAGCTCACTCTTCCTGGTTAGGAGAAGCTGCAGGGAACCAGTGGGTTTTCTGAATCAGCCCTTCTTGCTGTCCAAGCGTCCCACCTGCCCCGCTGGCCCTAGAGCCTCAGCCCGCAGCCACCACAGCAGGACACCAGTGGCGACTGGTTATTCAGGCTTTTTAGACGTGCAGATAAAGCTTAATGGCAGGATGGGGATTTAGCCTGATTTTTATGTTGCCATAAAGGTTTAATTCTATTTTTTTTTTACTGCTTGATTTTAGATCAATGTTTAATCACAGCTGCGGCCCCTGCCCGGGCTCTCTGAGGATGCTGCTACCCACACGTGTGGCTGGCAGGCTGACACAGCCCGGCAGGGTCACTGCGGGCTGCTCTTCTCCCAGTCAGCTCTAGCACAGGCCCCCATGGTGGGGGACAACGCTTCAAAAAAGCCCTATCAATTTTTCAGCCCAACTTCAGCACTGCCACATGCTGATGCCCAGGCAGGACCAGAAGCCCATGGAGCTGCCCAGGTATCAGCACCTCTGCCCCCCCAGAACCACCGCCACCTCCAGGCAGGGCTCCAGGGCACTCAGGTGGCAGTGGCTCTGGTGTCTGCCCTGAGGCTGGCCTAAGGCAATGCAGCCACCAGTGTTGGATGATGTGGGCCGAGACCAAATGACACAGCTGACCTTGGGACATCAGCCCAAGGGTCCCTCTCCCAGCCACACAGGGACACAATCTTGTTTGGCCCTACCAAGATCAATGCACAGCACAAGCTGATATCCTGACGGTGGCATTCCAGGAGGATCCGCTCCAAAAGGGAGATGCCAATGCCCCAGAGCAACCTGTGTCTGCTCAAGTATCACCAACTTTTCCTTGACCTCAACAATCCTGCACCCAGGAAGGACAGGCCTCAATGCCACAAAACTGAGCAGCTCCAAACTCCCAGCCAGCTGCGGAACAGGAAAACAACCAATGGGGTGACCATTTCTTGGGCTCCCCAAGCTATTTATCGTCCCCAAACCAGAACTGTGCCGGGAGAAGGAAGCAGCTCCTCCAACTGATGCGAGCTCTGATTCTATTGACCCGCTTTAGGACTCTTCCGAAGAGATGAACTTTTTTTTTTTCCTTTCTCCCTTTTTCCAGATCACTGACTCAGCAAATTAGAACAAGAATATAATTTAGCAATACAGCGGTTTTTGAAAGACACAGTCCCTCTCTCCTCATCCCCACCGCCCAAATAGATTTTTTTTCCCCTTCACTATTCATTCAGAGCTGATGCTAATTGAAAACGTAGAACATGGTTAGGGAAACAGTGGGTTATCTCTTTGGGAAGAGCAGTGCAGGGGCAATGCCCTCGTGCCAGGACGCACGATCCGGCTGATGTCAGGGTGACTTCTAGCCTTTGCCAGCTTTGTGGGTGCGCTCAGCAGCAGGAGGAGGACAAGGAAGCACAGAGGCACAGCTGATGTCTGGATGTGCTCCCACAGAAATCACACCCAGGTTAGGCATGATATATGGGGGAGCCCGCAGACAGCTCTCAGCCCAGCACAGCTGCTTCCCTGCACCCCAAGCCTTCATCCACATTGCACCCACCAGGGCTGACCACGTGCTATGCCAGGCATGCATGGCCCAGGGTGAATTTGAATCCCGTGAGACCAGGGGCTGCATCCCACAGCACAGCAGCTGCCCCTGGCACTCCCCCACTCCTGGCAATGCACGGAGTCAGGGATGCACCTGAGTGAGCCTCACCAGACTCTGCCCTGGGGAGAACAAACATCACCCCAGCACAGACGCAGCGGCCCCACATGCCAAATGTGCCCTCGCCTGCGTCCTGCCCAACACGCGTGCTGCAGCCACTTCCCACCCAAAAACATGGGCGTCCTCGCTCCCTCTTGGAACAAAGAGCATGCTGAAGGGCTGGGCTCCTAGTGCACCGCAAACACAGGCTTCGCCACCACTACTGCTCACAAGCTCTACCCTGAAAGACACCTCTGCCATCCTCTGAGCCAGCCACCGGGTTAGAAACTGCTCCCTGGCTTGTGGAGAGCTGACACTGTGACCCCTCTACGGATGCTGGCACTGGCGTTCAAGCAGATGCCAACACAAGGGCCACCATCACCCTGGGGTGGGGAGGGAGCCCAGCGCTCACCCCAGTACATAAGGAAGGGCAAGGGCAGGGACAGGGGCACTGGGAAAGCACACAATTCGTGGTGAGAACTGTTAATGGAAAAGAAAAAAAGTAAGAAGTACCAGGTGTTTTATTATCTAGGGCAAGATCCGAACCCAGGAGAGCAGCCCAAGGAAGGGTTAGGGTGCCTGACAGGGGCCGGTTACCTCCAGTGCTGCAGAAGGCTTCTTTTTGAGTTCTTCACATTTTCGGAATTTGCAAATCTGGTGGCCAGTTTTGCGATTCCTACAACTGCTGCACTGCTCGCAGTTTATCCGTCTTCGGCAGGGCGGGCACATGCCACATCTTTTCCGTTTCTTTTTCCCCGAATTGATGGCAGATGCCAATTCATTCTGCATTGGATACTCTGCCAAGCCAGCCATATGGAGCGCGCTCTCTGCCAGAAACACGCCAGCAGGGGTCATAATGAAAAGGCCTGGGTTGATGGGAAAAGCCCCCAGGTAAGGAAAATCAGAGGGGCTGTTCATTGTCTCTGCAGCTGAGACTGCCTCCATATCAGAGATACCAGTCCCATGGTCGCTTGCTAGAGGAATATGCTCCTGTACCACTCTTTTGAGCATTTCTGTCGACTGAGCAAACTGTTGTAGGGCGTTCTGTCCTTCTGAGGAGATTTCTGACACCCTGTCTAATTTGCTCAGCATACTAGAGATGTTTTTGTGCTTTGAGGTAGAATTACTTTTTTCCACAGTTGCTTCGTTGCCATTAGTTAAGGGGTTGCCTTTCTCTGAATGTTCGCTTACCGAGCTGCTGCTACCAAAGGTGGAATAGTGGGAGAGTGGACGGGACTTCTTAAGACTTTTGTTCAAAGGTTCACTTATTATTCCACTTTTGTTCCTCCTTTCGGAGTTGACAGGGGGATGAGAGTCATCTTGATTATTTTTTTCCGTCTCTGGCTTGTTCCCAGTGTCTTGATGGGAGCCCGAATTCGACATGGTGCACGGAGCAGAACAACAAAACCAAACCAAAAAAAAAGCACCCCAAAACCAAAGCAGAAGACCCCCAAAGCCCTTCTTGTAGCACCAGCACACCAGCCACCGGAGAAAGCTTAAACGGGAACGCTCATGAACGGGGCGTATCCTCCAGGGTCGGCTGCAAAGGTCTTCAGTACAATTTCAGTGCAAAGACATACTCTGCGGCTCTGATACAAAACATACGGCTCTGGAAGTAGAAAATAAAAGAGAGTTAGTCCTGGCAAGAGCAAACAGGCTTTTCAAAGCATCTCTTCCTCCCCCTGCAATGAAAGTCTCAGCGCCACAAACAAAGAAACTCCAGGGAACGGACCTCGGTGGAGATCCGTTCCGCTGCTCTTTAAAAGGGTCGCCATCCAGACAGAAATCGGGGGGCACAAAGGAAGTCCTGGCCCGGCAGCAATGTCACCGCACAGCTTAAGGGCTCTCTGTGCCCGCCGCTCCTCCCCCAGGGACCGAAACCCCAGGGAAGTCACGGGTCTCCTCTCCTGCTCTGCTCCAGCAGCGTGCGGCCCCGCAGCGGAAGGCAGGGCAGGCGCCTACAGGCTGCCCCGACGCAGCAGCCGGAGCTGGCACACCACAGCTCCCTCCCTGCGGATGCTGCTCGCCCAGCACGGTTAGGCTGCCCTCCTCATCCTCTTCCTGCGCCCTCGTCCCCAGGCCACTGGACGGGTGACAGGAGCCTCAGGGCAGCCTCAGCATCCAGCTCCAAGCCCCTCGCCACCCACCGGTGCCATGCCCCCAAGTGCTTTGCCCACACGGCCACTGCTGCTCCGGCAGAGGTGCTGGGAGAGCCCTCTCGGCTCGGTTCCTCCCTGCAGAAGCAGCTACGCCGCAGCCCCTCGGGCGCGTCGGGGGCAGCTGGGCCCAGTGTGGCTGCAAACACTTGTTGTTGTGAAATTCCTCCTCCTCCCCTCCCGAGCACGCACGCATGCACGCACGCACAGGCACCGCCAGAGTAATCAGGCTTTAGAGGAGAAAAGCTCCAGGGCTTAGCGGAGCAGGAACCCACGTCCCCACCCCAGCAGCAGCTGGGGGAGGGCAGTGCCGGAGGGGGCCCCTCGCCTGCCACGCTGCCCTGGGGAGGCTGCGCACAGCAGCCCCCACGCAGGCAGCATTCCTACGGCCCCGCTGTCCCACAGGTCCCCCTCGGCTGCAGCCCCTCGCCGTGCAGGGAGACGGCCACGCACCGAAGGCTCTGCTGGGACCCCCGTGCCCAGCCTCGTGGTGCCTGCACCCTGCTGGAGCCCAGGATGCTTCCTCCAGACACAGCCCGGCAGCAGGGCTCTGCGCACCGCCTCACAGCACCGCCGTTAGCTGCTGACGGGGGCAAGGTCCCCGTGCCAAACACCACATTACTGGAACAGGAAGAGAGCCCATCTCACCCCGACACAGGAGACAGCTCGCCTGCGGAGAAAAACACCCCCACCCCTTGCACTAAAACCGCTTGCTTCAGCTGCTGCGGGATTTAAGATGCAGTGTGGATCGATGCAGGACTCGGGTTCCAGCCTGGAGCTCTCCAATTCACGTGGGAAGGGAGGGCTGCAGCGGCAGGACAGCCTGCCCTTCCGACTGGCGGCCACGTGTGCAGCGCCGTGGCCCAGCCCCGGGCCAGGCAGGGAGAGGTCGGCAGCAAGGCCAGGACGTGGCTCCGTCCGGGCGGCCGCGGGGTGCCGGGGAGCAGCGGGAGCAGCGGGCCCCATCCCCATCCCCAGCTCGCTCCTGCGGCGTTAGGCCGGGTCACACCTCAACGACAAAAAGCCAGCGGCGCTGGGGCCAGGAGGGGAGCGCGGCAGGAAAAGCATCTAACGGGAGGATGTGAGATAAAGCAGCCCGGCGGCGTTATCTCACGCCCGCCTGTGACCGCCTTTCCTGCGGCCCTTCTCCTCTTCCGCCGCTCGGGGCAAAGCCCTGTTCCCCCCCCCCGGGTGGGCAGCTCCTGCCTCCGGGCAGCTGGCACCGAGCCGCTGCCCAGGTGAAGGAAGGGCTGTGGCCACCTGGGCGCGGATCGAGGGGCGAGTGCCAAGCGTGCGACACCCAGCAGGGCTCACCCCAGTGCCACACGGCTGCACGGGGACACTCCACTTCGGCCCCTGCCCCGCACACCCACAGCTCACAGCCAGACCCAGCGCTGAGCAGGGTGCCCCAGGGCACGGTGCCGGATCAGACCCGGATTTACCAGCCTGCCAAACTCACGCTTCTGTCCTCCCCGTAATCCGACGGAGCCTGAGCTGACTGATACCACTCAGACACTTTTTGGGGCTCTTTGTTGCACCCCTTCTTTGACACCCCGCTGCCCTGAAGCAGGGAGGGCACTGGCTTCAGGACGTCGGTCCCAGCTGGAGCTTGCTGCTGCTGCTGCCGCCAAGCCCCCCCGCCTCCCCGCTGCCCGGCTCCCTCCTGGCTGTGCTCCTGGCAGCCCTGCACCTCCACGCCTCTCTCTGCACAGCAGCACGCTGCGGTCTCCGTCTCCATCAGTTATTTCCAAGGGCACATCTTCCCCCGCGGTCGGCCGTAACGGCCAGCCCTCTCCAGCTGGCTGGATCAGGAACCTGCTCTCTGGTCCCACCCCGCTGTGTAAATCAGGTCCCAGCAGCTTGGAGCCCCCCCCCCACAGCCCCGAGCTGGGGCTGAGCGAACCCCGCAGCCTCCGCCGACGTGGGCTGCTCAGCGCAGAGCCTGCCAGGAGGGGAAGGGCTTTGTGTGCTGCTGGTAAATGGCTTTCCCCAAGGACAGCGAGGACCACGGGACTCCCACCCTGAGCGGCCACGGGCAGGGCACGCGTGGGTCCCGCTGCTCCTCATCCCCACGGGCCACCTGCAGCACCCACAGGCACCCCTGGAGCACCCCACAGCAACCTAAACCATGAGCGCTGCGCTCCAGGCTCGGCGCCAGCGGGACGAGGCCCCCGCAGCCCCTTTCCCCACCACCCCCCGGGGGACGACGGCTCCCGGAGCCGCCACCGTGCGTAACCCTCTCCACCCAAGCGCGCTGCCGGCCGTCGCAGCCGGGTGCCCTGGAAAGCACCCAGCTGCCGGAGCAGAGGGGCAGCCGCGCCGAGCCAGCAGCCCCGCCGCCGCACAATCCCACCATTGTCCCAGCTGCAGCTCCGCGGCCGCCAGCTCCCCGCCATCTGCACCCGCCTGGCGCTGCCTCCGGCTCCCGGGGCCCAGGCCGCGGGGTGCCCGGCTGCGGCGGGCACAGACGGGACCCCCCCCTTAACCACCGGGGCCACCCCACGCCCCCACACGTCTTGGCCGCTCTTCCCCAGCCCCTGCCTAGGTTGCTAATTACTGGGGTGTGTGTGGGGGGGGAAGGAATTAATTATCTTAATCCCGTCTTTATGATTGACCCGAGTGAAGACGGAGGCACCCCCCCCCGCCCCTCTCTCTGCTCCTGCCCCCCTTTTGCGGCCCCCATTCCCTGGGGAAGGCGCCGGGCGGCGTCATCTGGGTCCCTGTCGGAAGGTGCTTAGCTCCAGACGCGGCATTAAGCAGCATGTGATGCGCTTGCTCGCCCAGGTCTTTGCACCGCACGGCTTAGGCTGGAGGCGTGCCAGGGTTCAAAGGGACACCAACAAGGTCAGGAGGCCCCAGGACGGCCCCGGTGGCCCCTGGCCCGATGCACAAGGGCTGTTCTGGAGAGGGATACAGAGACCTGAGCCTACGGAGACCTGAGCACCATCCCTGCGGGATCCCCTCCAGCGTGGACTGAGCCTCAGGACGGGTCTGGCAGCACACACCCCAGGGTCCAAGCTGCCAGTGAGCTCCAAGAGAGCTGGAGCCCATGGAGAGGGCTGGGTAGCCCCAGAAACCTGCCTGGAGCTGCCCCTCCGTGTAACTCCCTGCCCCAGGGACCAGGAATGCCAGCCTGGATGCTCCCTGGCTGAGCCAGCAGCGGCTCCTGCCATCCCAGCCCCAGGCTTCTCCTTTCCAAGGGCTTCACCCAAAAGAACCCAAAACCTCCAGAGCGGCGCACCCCACTGCTCCCCTTCCCTGGGCTCAGCTCAGCGCTACAGGAGTGCCGGCAACTCTGAAAAAAAGGTGGCAAGAGGAGCTCCCGCGGCCCAGCACCTGCAGAAGCAATCAGCGAGCGGTGCGCACAGCGGCTGGCTGATTGCAGGAGCCGTTTATCCTCGGAGAGGAGCGGGAGAGGCGCCTTGCTTCTTGTAAAAATGACGGCCGGTGCTTTCCAGCCCCCCTGCATTATTTCACTGTCCACTGCCCAGCATTACTGGAAAGTAATCAGCTCCTTCAGATGTAAAAACTCTTGTCTTTAAAAATAACTTCTGCTTTCCTTTAATTTTAAATAAATCAATCTCCTCCCGTAAGAGCCACTGTTCGTTCAGCCATGCACAGACACGACTGTAAAGAGAGAGGAAAAAAAAAAAGAAGAAGAAAAGCTGAAGCCGAGGTGCTCCCAGGCTCAAGAGACAAAGAGAGAAAATAAAAGTTCAGCTTTTTAAATTCCGGGAGCGCGGCTCCCTCCCCATTGTGCGCTGCTTGGTGGGCACTGGGGCCACGCCATTGTCTGGCCGGCAGAGGTGGAGCAGACGGACGACGGAAGGGAAACCAGCGTCTTTTCAGCCTCTAAAAAGGAGGCACTACGTGGCTGTAATTGTGTCCACCGCGGGGTTTTTGTCCCTGCTTCCTCCCCCCTCGCCCCTCCCCGTGCAGCCCAGGCAGCGGCCAGCCACCCAGCACGGCCCCCACCTCCCAGTAAAGCACTGGGATAGACAGACGGGCAGACAGGCAGACAGACAGACCCACCACGTCACCGCCAGCCCTAACCGTTGCCACTGCCCTGGGCTGGAGGCACCCTCACAGCCCAAATTTTTTTTGGGGGGGGGGTCAGACGTGACCCCTGCAGCATGGGCGATGGGCGTGATGCCAGTGGTGGGGGTGCGAGGGGTGTCCCAGGGCACCCGTGGTGCATCCTGGCCACTGAACAGCCAAAAACACGTGGGGAAACCGAGGTGAAGCAAGGTAGGAAGGGAGAAATCACGCCGCAGTCTCCCAAGGCGAAATGTCCCTGGAGGACATCCGTTCAGCAGGACCTGTTAACAGGCAGGGGTACCATTAGAGAACGACAAGGACATCCTGCACCTACGCTGTTTGCAAGTCTTCATCTCCATCAACCCAACAGCCCCCGAGCTCTGCCCTTCCCATTCATCCTCCCCAAAACTGGTCCAGCCAGCAGACCAGCTCCTGGGTGCGCAAAGAAAGTTACCCCCATGCACTTCGGGATGTCCAGAGAGGACGGGGAGGCTTGGGGCTTTTTGGGGCAGCGTTGTAAATGCAAAGCCTCGCCCCGGGCACTTGCAGGTGAGCTGGCCAGAGGTGTGCCAGGTCACCGGGTGGGCACGGAAGGGCTGGTTGTGGCAGCCGCTCTGCTCCTCTCCGCTCCCGAGGTGGCACTGGGGGACGCTAAGAAGCCAACTCCTGAATTAAAAAGGCTATGGAAGATTAAATCCAGCATCTGGAAATAGCCCTGAAAGCAGATGGCAAATCATCATGGTGCACAGAGTGGCTTCCACCGGCCTCCTCCTCGCAGACAACCGCTCCTGCGGCGCCTCCCAAGAACAGCTCTGGGCACCGGGGCAGCCGGAGCAGCGAGTGCCAGGCGCACGGTGCCACGCTGCCCACGGCTCACGCGCCCACCAGGGACGAGCAGCGGGGCCATGCCGCCCTCCTGTGCGTGCCCAGACCAGCGGGCAGAAAGAAATGCCACCTCCAGCCATAGTCCAGGCAGCCACTGTCCCCACGCTTTCAAGGCACCCAACCTGCCCCGGTGCTCGGCCACCAGCACGGGCACCAGCCACTGCCCGAGCCCACGCGGGCCCTTGGGGTGTCCCACGGCACCCAGCTGGGAAACGTGGCTCCGTCCTGCCTTTGAGGGGTGGTGGTTGTGGATTAAGGAGTCTTAAATGTCAGACGACCAGGCGCTCCCTCGAAATCCACTTATCTCCGCTGCCACTTGGAAGGGCCAGAGCAGGGCGGTTATGGAGATAACGCGATTTGAAACGTCCATCCGAGTGTTTCAGGGCTCCATTTGCCCTGTGGACAACTCCGGGCGCCTCCTCCTCCCCCTCCTCTGCTCACACAGCTGCTGCCCGGGGACCCAGGCAAAGGAGAGCCCAGCCACAGCCAGCCCCTGCAGCCGGGGGGACAATGGGGGGCTTGGCAGCGTCGCCTCCCCCGGTGCTCTCCCTGCACGGCTCAGCCCCCCCTGGTCCCCCCACCCCGTGCCAAAGCCGCGCCGTTCGCTGCCCAAATCTGAAAACGACTGTAACTAAAACCTACCAGATTGAGACTCGGGAAGCCCCCCCCCGCCTTTCCCCGCCGCCTCCCCCACCTCCCTCCAAATGGGATTGAACAGATCTGTGTTCGCAGGAGCCGATCTCACAGCCAAGCAGCATCTGACATTCACGCGCCGTGGCACGGCTCTGCTGGGGAGCGCTTCCATGCTCGCCCACTCCCGGCCCGGCGTCAGCTCCCCAGCGCCGTCCCACGCCCAGGGCCGGAGGAGGAGGCACGACACAAAACGGGCGCTGAAGAGCAAGCGCTGGAGGAAACCCATGAAATCCCAGAGGATAACACGAGGTGCTGTCCTCTCCAGGCTAGCCGGCAAACCAGCACGGGGTCTGCGGGACGAGGAGACGTTGGTCCGCCCTGGAAGTGAGACGTGGTCCCGGTGCACCAGAACCACCCTACAAATCCCCCAGGCCCTCCTGGAGGGAAGCCTCCAGCACCAAGGGTGCAGCTGAGCCCCCCCAGTGCCTCCCCATCACGCTGCCGAGGGAGGTGACCAACATGATTTCAAGGCGGCGATGCTCAGGGGACCGGGGCTGACCATGGGAAGGGCACTGGGGACGTTTGCAGCCAGGAGACACCGAGCCCATGGCTGCAGCATCCTGGGGCAGGAACACGGCACCGCAGCCGGCACCGCTACCCGAACACTGCCCTACCCCGGGGGGTGAGAGCAAAACGGAGAGAGTGTCTCAAAGGAAAGGAACCCAAGCCCTCCGAGTGGGAGGGGACATAAAAGGGAACTGAAAGAGGTTTTGGCAGAGACACGCTGCTTTCCCTCGAGCCAAGAGAGCTGCGGGGAGCCCTCCCACCGAGCCGCCCCGCCACGGCCCTGGGCACCCCGGCAGGGGCAC